ATAAATACAGGTGTGTTGGGGGGGGGGGGGGGGCTCAGATATCCCCCTTAACCGAATTAATTTTAGAACATGTCATAAAGGTGTAATGGTATTGGAGTTCTATTGAAAATGCAAGTAGATGGTTGTGTCTTCTAATATAAATGCTTCTAGATAAAAAAAAAATGTTTAAACAATGGTAACCAAATGAGAATTATGGTACAGAGATAGTAAAATATATCTTTTCTTTCTTGACTTAAAATGTACAACATGATTTGAATGAAGTATATGTAAGGACTGTGGAAGAAACGCACAGAATATATTTGTAACCAATCGATACGCTTTCAACAAGATGTAACGAAAGATGATTTGTTCTTCTTATTTTTTTTTTGTTTAACTAAAACAATAAAAAAAATTCTCAAAAAAAATGTGCTCTACCTGGTGCTGCCTTTGAAGACCAAGCAGAAGTTTCAGGTGATGTAAAATATAGTGCCTTGTGTTTTTATTATTTGGCATTTATCACCATGAGCACATTATGCTAGGCTTTCAACTGCAAATTGTAATGTTGGTTTTGAGCTATAAAATCTTGTATGACTGAGTGCCCAGGACTGCCTCTTTTAAGCAGAATCACCTATCTCCCAATAAAATCATTCTAGGAAAAATTGTTTGTGGTCCCCTCCTTTCATGAGGGATGTTAAGACAACATTTTTCAGAAGGACATTTAGATTTTAACTAATGGATAACATTTGCTATGTCATAGGTGAAAGCACTATCTATATATTATAATAATATATTGATGTTTACCGTGGACAATTTACATGTTTATTATTAATATTGACTTTTTAAAATACAAACTGCAAGGAATTGACTGTAAATCCAGTAATATAAAAATGTAATACATAAATGTATTTCTTAGCTGTTCCAGTAACACTGATCTTCTAAGTCCTCAATCTTAAGCACACATAATGGGAAAGAAGCTCCATTGGCCCCACTGGAGTTTACTGATGCACGCTGAATGTAATTCTTAGTCTGGTGATCATTCTATTTTTATCACTTTAATTTTATTTACACTTTAAAGAAATCATGTAAATCATCATAAAGCGTTTTGTGGCGGAGGATGCAAACATGTTGCATTATTTTGAACATTTTCTCTGAAAACTCCCTGACTGCCAACATTCAAGTGTCTCAGCGTATGCCTTTCGTCTTCTAGGCACCGCTGTTCAGGCTCTTGTTATTGTAACCTCAGTCCCAGATGTGGCGCCAAAAACTAGTGCACTCTATAAAAGTAACTGACAGCTCAGATGTGTAGCTTAGTGGAGGCCTAGAGAAGTTACACCAATGAGAAGCTGGCTTTTTCACAGAGCCACACATGTTTACAGTCTGCATTCTGCCGGTAGGAGGAACGGTCTAACTGAAAAGCTGTAATGGATTCATAGCAGGAATTAGGATTAATTTTTTTTTCAAATATCGAACAATCTAATTTCTCTCTTTAAGGAGGTGCAGTAAAACACAGTGAAATAGTCTTGTCAATTGAAATAAAGTATCATTTGAATGAAATCCTGAACCTGACTGATATGCCATGGAAATGCACAGGAAATTATGAGAGATTTTTTAAAGACAAAAATGTCAAATCTCATATAATTTTTTTGCTGAATATGAAGTACCTTGTGAAAAAGCCAATAACTGTCTATCAGAATAATATTTTAGAACATACTGCATCAATTTCAGCCTGTATGCCATGAAAATATTTATATTATTCGGACAACTATCAAGATATTACTTCTTGCCTGCCCATATACAAATTTTAAAAAATAAGTCAGGTTGCTCAGAAATTGGAAAATATTCCCACAGTATGCCTTTACCAAGTATGCCAGTACCATTTTACTTTATTACAGCTAACTAATGCTGCACCATTATGTCCTGAACCTGGTACCTCCAGATGTGTCATAATCTGATTTCTAGCATCAAGTGTATATGATCATGTTGGCGAAAATAATGGTAGATGGAAGTCTGGCCAGTGACTAGAAAACTGATTTATATTTGTAGCTACTGTGTCTTTCGGATGAGGCATATGAGCATTGCTTTCATGGAAGTCTCCTATGAAAGGCTGTATGAAGGATCATAAAATATGTATCCAAGGATGAAGCACATGGTATTTCAACCAGTGGCTTGTTTATTGAAAGGTAATTCAATTTTGAACTCAGGTTTACCTGTACCATTATTTTAAGAATTTTTTGACTCTGCCAATATCAATAGTAGGAATGCTGTTCATCTGGTGCATTTCCTAAACAAGACAGATGAATGACAGTATTATGGTTTTAAACATAAGGAAGAATCTATTCTTGTTTGAGTTTGAAAGAAACAGTTAATTGATAAGCATCCAAACAAGTGTAAGAAGTTCTTTGAAGAACTAGTTTACAATGTATTTGCATGCGTGTATGAATATATGAGAGAAACCTGCCTTGTTCTGTAAGCAGAAAAATCTCCCTTGCTTTAAACAACAATCTATGGACTTTAGAAAAAAACACTGGTTGAAATTTGACTGGGTAACTTTGGACCAGTCACTCTCTCAGCCCAACTCATCTCAACAGGGCTGTTATTTTGGGGAAAACAGGAAGATGAAGGAGCAGTCTTGAGCTGCATGTGGGGAAAAAGGCGGGACAAAAATCTAAAAAGAGAATTGTTTAATTCTTTTTAAATTTGTTTGAGAAATTTCCCATCATTCAAGAGAAGGCTATACTGGAATGAGATGTGGAACATAAAGGTGAGGGCTGCACTCAGCCTCATGAGCTTCCAGGAATCTATTGTGATGTGAGGCAAATGTGGCAAAACACATTTTATGTTTAATCTCTCTGAAGTGGCTTAAGGATGGTAAGCAACTAGTACCATTCCTATCTTTAATTATCCAAAAACAGAACATTGGGTCTAAAATCACAATTCAGGAGTGACTTTTGAGGTTGTTTTAAAATACTGAGATTGTTAAAGATGTCAATGTAGCTTGCCTCTAGGAAATCTATTATAGGCCCTCTAGAATGACTTTTAAAATGGTTTGGATTCTATAGTAAATTCTGCAACTATGACCATGTCATAATAGGTATAACAGTTTCTCTTATCTGCGAACTTTTTAAAATGATTCTACTGGTATAAAATATAGATTCTGCAAGTAAAATATAGCACCTGCTGTCTATTGATAAATATTTGGGATAAAAGTGGCGACGGAGGACAGGCTTGTACACTCATTTTTGTATCAGGATAAATTTGGCTTTGATATAAAAATACTTGACACTTCAAAATCAATACAATGGCACGATGTGTGTATGATTGTAAAGCAATGGGAATCTGTTTTTTCACATTTCTTGGGATTTAAAAACAATTTTTTTAAAATTTGTTCTCCAGCCTATTAACCACAACGCCAAGAGAAGCAAAAATTCCATTATCGTAATGACATAAGTCTGAAAGGTAGAGTTTTATTGAGTTGTTTGTATTGTATTGTTTGTTGTGTGGTTTCAATTGCTAAGCACTTTTCTTTGGGGAAGAACTTCAGAGTCATGATTATTCTATTGCTAATTTTTCATATTTGATGGTTGGACAATAGGATAAATTATTATTTTATTCAACTGACTAATATAATCATTTTTATACACAGGGCAAGAATGTCACCAGAGGCACATAGGTTATTGAAATGAGTCAAAAGGTTAAGAATCAAATTAAAATTTGCACTGATTTCAGCCCATTAAGAATGATTAAGGCACCACATTAGAAACAGACTGCCCTGCTTCAGATACAAAGCCAGCTGTTTACCTAGGGCCAGCCACTCTCTCAATGGGAAGCCTGCAATGGCAAATCAATTCTGAAATGCTGCCAAGAAAACTGCAGGGACTTCTGCGGAACGTTGCCAGAAGTCAATATACTGACTGGAAGGCACCACCGTTCCCACGCGCGCCAAAACCAAAAAAGTTTAATGGGAACAAAACTGCAAGGCATCGGAATGTTTTGGCGTTTCTGAATAGCGCTAAAAAAAGAACCTAAGAAGTCGTTACTCTTATCAGTGCGATGCCTGCCTGGTCTCCACCAATATGTCCTCGAAAATAGGAACAGTGCCCGCAGGTGGCTTTCTCCGCAATTACGGAAGACCCATCCCGCCTCAGCCCAAACCTGCCTTTGTAATCCGCTCCTCCTATTCCACAGCACGCTGTATTGTTGTCACCACTTGTTGCTGGGCGCTTCAGGGCACTTAGGAGGCAAGGAAGGCCGTAGCCGGCGCTCCCAGCCCAGCAGTCCCTTAGCCTACGCGTGTTAACTAGAGCGGCGGCGGCGGGCAGGCGAAACTGCCGCCTATTAGCATTTCAGAGGCAGTCGACTCCAGTCCGGGTTTTGGGGCTGAGGACTAGCGAGCCGCAGGGAAAGGCTAGCAAAAGACCCCGCTCGGTCCGTCCACCCAGCTCGCCCGCCCTTTCGCTAACATCTGGGAAGCGCCGCTGACCTGCAGAGAGGAGCTATCCCAAAAGGGTCCCTAAGTCCCCGCCGGGCCAAAGCGCTCGATGGCTGCAGCGGCGCGCCCGGCCTTCTTGTCCAGCCCAGCGCATCCGCTGTAAGCGGCGGCGGCGGCGGCTGCACCACCTCTGCTGCCTTGCCGCGAGTGCCTCGGCTGTAGCGGCAATAGCCGCCGCCGCCGCCGCCGCACCCGCCCCCTCGCTCAGCCTTGCCCACCGCCCAGCCGAGCCGAGCCGAATCCACTCCTCTTCGGTGCGGCGCGCTGAGCGGTGCTGGGCGCGGCCATGCAAGCGCGGCGTCTGGCCAAGCGCTCCAGTCTGGGCAACCGGCGCTTAAACACGGCGGGGCCGCCCTCGGCCGCGCAGCCTTTCCCGGAATCGGGGGGCCGCGGCGTAACGAAGACCGAAAACTCCTGGAGGCCGCCTCGGCGCGAGGGCTCGGCAGCCGCCCTCGAGGAGGAGGACGAAGAGGAGGACGTGGTGGTGGACGTCGAGGAGGACGACGACGCCGACGAGGCGGAGGAGTTGGCCGGGTCGGGCAAGGGCCACGCGGCCGCCCGGGTAAGCCTGAAGGTGCGTCGCCGTCGCGAGAAAAGCGTCCCCGCCGTCAGAGGCTCCGCCTGGCTCGGCTGTGGGAGGCGGGTGAGGGGCTCGGGGGCTGGGTGGGTCAGTGCGGCAGGTTATTATGGGAGGGGGGGGGACCTTCCTGATTGATGACAGCGGGATTCTTCCTCGGGCAGCCGCTTGGAAGTTGAGGCAGGGCTAAGTCAGCCCCAAGTTGTAGTCAGGGTTAGAAAGGATAGGAGAGAGTGCAAAGAGCAGGAGGCGTCTGAGCATACCTAGAGTGCCTTTGCTGCGCGGAAGATTAGGCGCCGTTTCCACCCCTCCTTTGTAACAGAAGGGCAGAGCTTCTTGATCCCGTCCTTGATTGGGGGGGGGGGAGTTGTATCCTCCGCTGCTTTACGTTCAGCTAAAATGTCTAGGTCCGGAGAAGGGATTCTGTGCCTGTCAGGTTGTATAACAATAGGCTTCATGTTCGGCATTTATCTTATTTTGAGAAGAAATGATGTTCTGAAAGGCGGGAGCAGGGTGTTCCTATTTAAACAAGGAAAGGGATGGGATGACATGCTGGTTTTAACAGCCCTGCAGGGTTGGCATTCGCCTGTTTTGTTCCCCAACTCAGACAGTTAACTCGTGTAGTGCAAATAAAGATGGCTGTTGTTTACAGTATTTTTAAAAAATCAACCCTTTAACAAAGTCTGTTGTGCCTGATCAGATAATTTATCGCCGGATGATTTCTATGATTAGACCAAAGTGGGTGTCCAGGATCAACAATTTTAATGGCAATAAAAAGGCTGGCTGATGGAAGAGGGCAAGATTGGAATGACCATTGGAGAGATGATTTTAAAAAAATAGCCGGGATGTGGGCACACACAGCTTTGAAATACATGCAGCTAAAGTGTATGTTACAGAAACAATAGTAAAGCTTTAAAAGGCCAAGGGGAATGCCAAAAAGGGAAGAAGGTAAAAATGACATCAGCCGGTAGAACTGCTGTAGTGCAGGAAAACCAACTGTATATAAACCCTGCAGTTCTAATACATGCTTAGGAGTAGTTTGTGTATTACAGCACCCAAAAGGTAACAGTAAGTTCAATAAATTTTACTGTCAAATAAATACAGGTTACATTTTGGGAAGATGCAAAGAAACCAAATATATTCTATGGCATTAAAATAAAAGCTATATTAGAAAAGCAAAAGCAATTAAAGCTTGGTTAGTGCACAAAAGTTGGTGTGTGAGCAAGAGAAACAAATCTCTGCAATTTCTGCAGCAAACCTGTGATTTATACTCAGAATTTCCACGCAGCATTTTAAAATCTTCAATACAACTAGATACAGAAAGATCAGCTAAAACATAGTTATATATTTTATAATTTAAAATAATAATAAGGACAAATGTGTAAAGTATTTTGAACAAGCAAACATGGCTCTTGAATCAGCATCATGGACTAAATTTGGCCCCAAATTATTCTGACAAAGGTTATCTCTTGATCTTATTGATCCAAAGCTCAGTTAAATTGAAGATTCTGATTTTTGGCTTTTAAAACCATAAACATTCTAGATTTAAGTAGATAAATTTCCTATTTGCTTTGATTAACCTTGAGGTTCTGTTCAGATAATGAACAAAAATAGTATGCTCAGTTATAGCAATAGTTTTCCAGAATTAGTTTTTATTCAGAAAACATCTTTCACTGCTAGATAACACTAATTAACATTTTGTTGTTTAGAAATATGCTTAAGGAAAAAAAAGCTTTCAGTAGTAGGTGATCCTGCTGTATATATATTTTTTATTTACTTTTTGATTTCTTGCATTTTGTTGTGTAATTTTGAGACAAAACATTCTTCAACACATGTTTTAGCTATTTGAATTTTATTGTAAAAGAAAAATTGGAATTGATAATATATGTTGCTGGCATTTCACTTTACAGGTTTTATTATTATTTAACCAATACTAAAAAAAATAATCAGAAAACGTAGGTGATTAATGTATTAACTCTGTTTGGTCATATCCTTAAATTAGCATAAATTAGAAAATTAAGTGTCAGTGAGTTTTGCAAAAACAGATCAACTTAATTAAAAGTAGAAAGATGGCCTATTGTTACAAGTTTGGTAGATAGCTATATGATTGCTCCTGATGTGATTTTTTTTTTACTCAGATGAACTTTTTGATATGCAATAAGTTTATATACTGCATTTTAGAAAATATGCCTTGTTTGCTTTTGGCCTCCTTTGTGAGTAGTTTCTACAAATACTATCGGTCTTTGTTGTTTTCCCTCTCAGCTATGAGAAACTAATATTATAACTAATAATGATTTAGCAAAGTGTGTGAAATTCAACTACTGTCTTAAAAGAGCGGTCTAAGGCTAAACATATCCATGTTGTTAAAACTGTAAAGGGACAAGTCGAGAAAAACACTACTTGTATTTGGCTTCTCCACAGACTTTTTTCAAAGAATTATATTGGTAGTGAATATGGCATATTTTTATGCAGGTTGCTAAATACTTCCTGACATATAGTGGTTGCTTGTGGAGCCAAAACTTTTTGTTGTTATGAAGAATAAGCTTGACCCAAACAAAAAGTAGCAAAGTTTTTGTGTACAAAAACATTTTTGTGCTAAACTATGTAGCATATAGAAAAGGCTCAGATTTTCATGGTGCAAGAAAGGAAGTTGTTCAGCAAACTTTCTATCCAGTGGAAATGTTCTTTTGTCCTAAACTGCTTACAGCAGAGTTTCCTCAATATATTTATATACAATTAGGACATTAAAAAAAATAAAGTGGGTATTCTGAGTAAACAAGCAGGCTACTTAGAGAAAGCTGAACAAGGGATTTGTTAGCAAAAAATTACGCATGTTGAAGAACTTGGTATATGTCTGTACATTCTTAATTTCTGGTGACTGAACTAGTTCAGATACTATTTTCTGATCATCTTAATTAGAACTAATAAAAATTTTAAAAAAATCTATGGCAAAGTGGGGGATAGAAAGATTTTATCTCCATTGTGCTTTCTAAAGGCATCCAAGGAGAGATCAACAAAGTTTGAATGGTAATCACAACTGCATGACTGAAACTCCACCCCTTTTGTTTATGAATTAATACACATACACAAAATGATAGGGCTTCAGCTGCACAATTACAACACTATCTTGGCTTTTTACCCCTTCATTATCTTTGCAGAAGTTCCTGGAGGTTCTTTTAGGTACAAAATCATGCTCTATAATAAAATTGTTTTTTTTTTAAATTATTCAGTGTGATGGTTAAAGAAAAGGAAAAGTATAATAAATAGTATTGCTTCCTTGGTAGAAAAATGGAGTTATAGAAATAAAAGCAAGTTCCTTTTACATCCTTTGCCAGTAGTGGCAAAAGATATATGGATTCCTTGCAATGACATAGTGTACTTAAATTATTTCTGTAAGTTTATTATTTAAAAAATAAATTGTTTATGGTAGTAACTTTTACTGCTATCTTACATTTAGGAAGTAAATCTTAATTTCAAGTAACCTGAACAGGTAGTTCTTGACTCATGACCACAATTGAACCCAAAACCACTGTTGCTAAGCGAGACATTTGTTATGTAAATTTTGCCTTGCTTTAACAACCTTTCTTGCCACAGTTGTTAAATGAATCACTGCAGTTGTTAAACTAGTATAGTAACACAATTGTTATGTGAATCTGGATTCCCCATTGACTATGCTTGCAACAAAAGGTCATCATATGACCCCAGGACACTGCAACCTTCACAATATGAGTAAACTGCCAAGCATTTGAATTTTGTTCACATGACCACGAGGATGCTGCCATGATGCACACCATCATAAGTGTGAAAAATGGCCACTTTTTTCAATGCCATTGTAATTTCAAATGGTCACTAAATGAACTGTTGTAAGTCTATATACCAAACTGTATACTGTTTGATTGATGGTGGAATACCATTCATCATTTTCCGTAATAGAAAAATGGGAGCAATTAGGGACTAGATTGGGCATATCACTGAAGATCAGTGTTCTTGAATGTGATTGTTTTGGGTAGTAAATTGCTTTGAAAGTCTTTTCTGGTACACAACATTGCAGAGAGAAGACAGCTTTATTTACAAATAAGTCTCTTGAGTTGAGCATAACCCTTGGTTGATCATGTGCTCATGTCTATATGGTTATCCTCCTGAAATATGGAAAGAATATATGGCCACTGCTTTTATTTTTGATTTCCCATTCTAGACCATAGTCTAGATTAGTGGTGGCGAACGTTTTTTTCCTGCTCGGGTGCCAAAAGGGCATGCAAGCACGCGATAGTGCATGTGCACATGCCCACACCCATAATGCAATGCTCTCCGCCCCTTGCATTTGCACACAACTCCCCCGTGCATGGCCGTAGGCCTCACTGAAGTCTCCAGACTTCCGGTAGGTCCGTTTGGCTGTTTTTCACCCTCCCCATGCTTCAGGAAAGCCTTCTGAAGCATGGGAAGGGTGAAAAATGGCCCAACAGAAGTTCATTTCTGAACTTCTGTTAGGCCCATTTTCGTCCTCTACAGACTCCAGAGGCTTTCCTGAAGCCTGGGGATGGCGAAAACGACCTCCCGCCTACCTCTGGAAGGCCGAAAATCAACTGGCCAGTGTACTACTTTTAGATATAACTCTTTTCAGATGCTTTGACCATATTTAATTAATATATTTAATAAGGAATTATTAACAACATAAAAAAATAAATATAAATTAGGTTGATTTGCCCCAAATGTAGCAATATAGGAAAACTCAGAATACCACTTTTTCTAGCATGGCGACAACATTGCAGCTCTTTTCATGAATACTGTAGAGATTTCCTGGTGAAAGGATTTTTTGATATAATTCTTCTATTTCAAACTGCTTCATCCTCAGGCTGGCATAAGAAATGAAAGAATATTTAGAAGTGGTTGATGTTGAAGAAACATTTTAAGAAATATGAACAGAAATTGATTTGTTTTAAAACAGCCTCTTAGCTGTTTATTGTTTTAATAAAATAGAGTATTTCTACAGTTCCCAT